GGAAATGGCGTGCATTTATTGATCCGGGACCCAGCACCTTTTAGGGCTAATTCTTATGGCTTGCACAACTGGTGTAGGCTGGGATCCAAGGGTTGCCTGGGTTTCATCTGGCCTTGGAGTGAGCAAAAACCTGTAGAAAATCTGTATTTGTTGTTGGTCTCAGCTCTACCTGGATTGAACCTTCCTTTCTGCCGCAGGGCGCACCGTTGTCCTGGCTGTCTGTTAGAAAAATTGCCTGGCATGCAGCTGCCTCTTCCGTCCAACACCTCAGGCTCTGTGGGGCTGGTGGTCCTTCACCCCCATGGGGGGGAGACTGGAATTCGGACAGAGGAGGGGTTGACAGGGTTGTAAGGTGACCAGAGATATGGATCCTAAGTGATTGCCTGGAGCCACCTGCAGCCTCAGTCCGACCAGCACAGCTGAAAACCTCCCCCGTTTCGCAAGCCCAGCGGCGGTGGTGGCTGAGCGGTGCCTGCTGCTCAACTGCGGAGAGACCGTGAGCTGGCGGACCAGAGCCAGGAGACGCAGATGAGGAGAAGCTGAAATGGCAGCTTCGGGTCAGCCTGCGCCAGGGGGATGGGGTGGCTTGGGTGGCCCCGGTTTGGTGCTTTGGCTCTGACAAAAGCTGTGTTGGCCTCATCCGAGCAGCAGAAACCTGAGCGGGGGAGGCTGGGAAGCCGGGAGCTGGTGGAAACTGGGGGCAATGGGACCTGGACCCCGCTTGGTATACATCTGAGGCTGTCTGCTGGAGACAGTGCCTTATCTTGGTATGTATGAAGCTACAGGCTTTGTTCTCCCAACATGTTTGAAAAAGGAGGAGATTAAAATGACCCAAAATGTTCAGAGCACTAAAGAAAGGGGGCACTTTTAAAATCCCTTTGTCTGTTTGAACCAAGCTCACGACTTTCTGAGCTGCAGCTCTGTGATTTGGACAGGGCAGAGGTAGGAAATGGGTTGATGCTGAAGCTGAACCAAAATGTAAAACTTTGACATACTCCAGTATTAGGACTCTGCTTTGGTCCCCCAAGCTACTTCAGTTTACTGCCGGAGAAGGTTGAAAGGTGATTCATTCATAGTGTACACGTACCTAAAAAGGGAAGAGGTTTCTGGTTGCTCGATGAGATTCAAATTTACCAGAGAAAGGCAGAGAGATCTCTTGGCTGGAGGCCAAAGTTAGAGAAATTCAGGCTAGGAATAATGGCTGCAGTTTAAACAATGAGAATAAAAAGCGGTGGAAGGTCTTTGGCTGGCGTTGAGCAGATCCATCAGCAGTTAATGGCTCTAAATGAGGGTTTCTGTGTTTTCTAAAAGATGCAGGAATTATGCAGAGAGACTTTCCAGCCCAGAGCAGCCCTTCCAGGAGACCAAGGCTGGGCTTCCCTGTCGACCATGGCTCTCGGTGCCTTGTCCCCGGGCTTGGGGCTCTGCCCGCTGCTGCCCAAGCATGAGCCACACTTGCCATACGGCCGCAGATGTGCTGGGCGACAGGGCACAGCGCTGTTTCTTTGTGCACAGCGCTTCTCCCAGACACAGCCCAAAATATTTCTGGGTTGGATTCCCCTTTCCCTGGCCAGTCTGATTCAACTGAGGAAATACAGACGATTCTATAAGTGCGGCTTGCGAGCTGAATGCACAGGCCCTTTCCCTCCTTCAGTAAGACAGCTGAAGACATGGAATTGGGGGGAAACGCTTTCTCCTCCCTTTTTCTGGGCAGGACTGTCTGCCAGAGGGTGTGATGCCAGCAGAGCCCCTGCCCCGCCTGAGTGTCTGCTCCATCTCTTGTCCCTTTGGACCTGCCTATTTAGGAACGTCGTGTAATTTGTCACTGGTGGCCAAGAGCACAAGGTGTGAGAGGTGTATGGGTTTGGGTGAGATGTGATTCACGTCAGTGGGGAGGAACTGGGGATTAGAGATCTTGGAAGGTTTCTTTCTTGTCCTTGGCCCTCTCCTTCAACGATCGCCAGGTTTCTGGGCTTTGCTCTGCTCCTACCAGCGTCTTCCGGCACGTTTCTGGAGAGAGGGGTAGGGCTGACCTGACATACCTTTCTCCCAGGCCATGCTGCCTGCTTCGTGACTGCAGACCCCAAGCCTGGAAATAATATGAAGCAGATGCACCAATGCCAAGGTCGGGACCTTGCCAGTATTTAAGGCGTATGTATGCTGTTGGCATGGTACAGGGTGACCTCGGTGTAAAACAGGAGCCAACCGACACACACATGCAGACAGAATAAATATTTGACAGAGTCTATTTCTCTGTTCCCCAAAATGACCCCTATAAAAGCAAGGTCCTGTTTACCTTCCCGGCTTGCCGTGCACAGTGTTCTGAGAAGAGACAAGCTCTCGTCTCCATTCATTGCCTTCCTGCTCTTCTGGGTGACCCATTTCCAGGCAAGGATCAGGGATATCGGCTTCACAAAACCCAGGACACCTTGGATTTTCACAGAACTCCTGAAGTTTCGGGAAAGCTGAGTTTGCTTTTTGTTCAGGAGTCTGTCTGTGCCAAAGCACAGTGACCCGGGAAGCAGCGCCGGACGTCCGTGTGCAGCCTGCAGCAATTGCCTGTGGCTGTCCAAGAGGGGTTTTGTGCTGCCCCTGCCCCCTCAGCGCGTGTGAGCGCGGTGCAGGTTTCTAGGGACCTGCAGCACGCTTGGCTGCGCAAAAATAACAGTCGGGAAGAACCTTTGGTGGGGTTTATTCTTTTTTCCTTGGTGTGCTAAACACACTTCCTCTGCACTCCCGGACCTGACATTCGCCCCTGTGC